GAGGGAGGGAGGGAGGAAGGAAGGAAGGAAGGAAGGAAGGAAAGGAAGGAAGGAAGGAAGGAAGGGAAAAGCAGCCTTCTCCCCTCCACCTCATTAGCCCCTTCTTCACAACAAAAACTTTGGGGAAATAAGTTCATACTTATTGAACTTAAACAATGCTATGTGACATAAAATGCATTATTTCTGACTTAGCATGTGAATGTATTGTTCGGAGTGTAACCCTATATATATATTTAACTCTGGGTCGGTTACCTAAAATGAGCTTTCCAGTCTAGATGTCTACTTAGAAATAAGCCCTAGTATTTAAGAGCCAGCTTTTGTTGAGGCAAAATGGGTTAGTTTGCTTTTGGTTTAATGCCATATGTCAATCCAACCGTGGTAGTTTAGAAACTTCCTTGGTGTGAAAGTGCCCTCTGTGACTTATTCAACAAACCATTGCTGAGTGCAGCATAGGAACCTAGTCCATGGCTATGCCCAGGCCAAACAAATAAAGTAGGGCTTAAGATGATACATAGTTGGTAAGTTGTGGTTTATAGTTTAAAGTGTTTTGAGAACTCAGGCAGTCAAGGCTTAGCTTGATATGTGAACCCTGGCAAGGGGTTAAGTGGGTTAGTGCAAGTGTGTATATGTGTGAGATAGTGCACTTAATTTTGTACAAGTAAAAAGCTGGTGGAGCTGGGAACATTACTTTTTAGTGCCTCTGGAATCCAGGCAGCTATTCACCACCAAGAAACATCACGTGTTTCCATTTCATGAAGTTCGCAACCCTTTTCAGATGCTGCAGAGTCCTGTATCTCTGTATAAAGATTATTTTTCTTCATGCCTTGTCCATCTTCCCTTGTTTTTTTTTCTTTCTCCACCCACCTTTTTTTAGTTTTCCTTGGAAATGTAGATGGCAGTGGGAAAAATCGTTCAGTTCACCCAGCTTGACTTTCTGTGTTGATGATCCACCTGTTATACATCCAGATGTGAGTCATTTCCCCTTTTCTTCCCCAGTGAGTTCTTGTTTCATTCAATCACACGTTTTGGCCAATTCTATTTTTTTGGTTGGGACAGAGCGCTGTTTGCTGAATACAGCTATTCAAAAGGAAATAGCAGTTGAGTTGGTAAAGGCATTATGTGACTTCTTTAGAAATGAAAGTGATACTTTCTAGGAAGTAAAAATATCTACTCCACCCCACCCTACCCCCAGTTTACTGATATTCTGTTTTTTCAGTTGTGTAAGCTACAGAATTTTAGTTTTTCGTGTTTAACTGTGAGTTGGAGACAGACTTGGCTATGCCCCAATGAAATTCATGGGAATTAAATTACGTTCGTGATGTGAACATTCTCCAGGATGTATCTTAGTATTTTAGAAGGGTCAGGTGACAGGTATGTGGCTATAATGCTCAAGTTATGCAGGGCATTCATCCTTCCTTTAACGAAAGAGATTCCAAAGAGGCTGTGTGTGTTGAGATAGAAAAAGGGTATTTTCTTTACTTACCTGCTTTGTGTCCCCCAGTTTGAGGATGGTGATAATTTCCAGAAATCTTTGTTTTACATATTGTTTGGGACATGTATTTCAAACATTAGACACTCACTCACCTCTCCTCTAGGTCCTTTAATTGATGGTCCCCACTTTTTCCTATAGTCTTTTCCTGTTCCATCTGGAATTCTTGCTTCTGATCCTTGCTTGCTCCTTCCAGCTAATCACCTTGGCTGATACCAAGCACACATTTCTCTTCGCTTAGTTTATTTTTATATCCAGACTGACTTGGAAATATTGGAATAAAATAACCTTTGGTCATCTAATGACAAATCTAATTAACATATAAAGTAATTCTTTTCTTGTCTTTCCATAAATCTGGGTTTATCTGATTTTCTGGGTCAAAAATCAGCAACTTGTTGGATCCCTGTTGTTCAATAAAAATATGTTACAAAAGAAAATAAAAATCCAGTCTAATAGGAAATGTCTGAACTTAAGCCCTGCTCTCTGGTCTCTCCTTCTAGAGGTTTTCAATTTACTATGTTTTTTTTAAATATAGCATATCTTTGACCAAGTTGTTAAACCAAAGAGAACAACTTTATTTAAGTTTATTAAGGGGTCTTCCTTCTGAGGCTCAGAGAGCCAGGAATTGCTATCAAGAATTATAATCAATAACACAACCCTAATGTTAAATTTGTGGACTCAGTTTATGTGCTAAGTTATGATTTGTTTAACCATGCTTTTTGAATAAACAGTTGCCATAAACAATGTTTTATATATAGTGGCTGGGATCAGTTTTAAGCTGAATTTAGTATGGATGAATCCAGCTGTTTATAAACCTAATCATTTATGGCTTAGTGTGTTGTCTGAATCCAGCTACTGAAGCTTATCCAATAAACTGGGCTTAAGCAAACAGGCTGAGGGTGGTGTGAATTCAATGATAGAGTGATTTCACTTTGTATGTTAGGACTGATGCATATTTTCTTAAGGCGTGTGTCCGTATGTATTTGGGAGATGATCAAGAACCATGAACTCCTTTATCTCTTCCTTTCTGAAGCAGCTGTATAAAATTACCCGATTCTTTTTAACCCAGATGCCCTGATTTCTCTCTTTGGTCTTATAGGAGCATCTTCCATTCTTCTCTTGTTCTTAAAATTCTAGATAGTCATCCAAAGTTCAGCATTGCTACCTAATCCCTTTATGGCTATAAGAAGTAGATTAGGGAACTCTTTCCTGCTTTGGCAAACTGATCCCAAGGAGAGGACCTAAAGGAGAACTAATCCATAATGAGCAATCTGTTGGAAGTCTCTTCCTAGATAGAGCCCCCCCCCCCCCCCCCAGCAAAGAATGGGAACAGATGGTTCTCTCTGAGAGTTGCACAGAGAAGGTAATCTGATTAAGTAAGAGGAGAAAAGAGGCGGGCAGTAAATTTAACCAGTGTTTGTCAACCCTAGCAACTTTAAGTTGTGTAGACTTCAACTCCCAGAATTGCTGGCTGAGGAATTCTGGGAGTTGAAGTCCATACATCTTAAAGTTGCTAGAGTTGACAAATACTGGATTAAATCACCAAGCTTGTCTTGTCATCCCTTCTTGCAAATAGATAGTTGCTATCAATATCAACCTTTGTGGCTAATTTAGGAATTACAAGTCTTCAGGGTTATAGAAAGGAAGCTTGTTTAGAGGGTTGCCTCCCTCTTAGGTCAGACTCCTTATCAAAAGCTTATCTAAAGTTCTCAGCTTTCATCCCCAATAAAAACGGTGTCACCAAGAAGGACAGATTGTTCTTGTTTCTCGTCCCTTTTAACAGCCTCCTATTTTATTTTGAGTACCAAGCTGAACCTTCTCTGATGTGGTTCTTGTGCTGTGTCTTCTGCTTTGAATCTCACAAACCTTTTGCCCCTTCTGGCTAGAAGATGATGGGGGGCCTTTAGAGAGAATCAGTTTGGCTCTTGTTGACTGTGAGTTCCCTGGGGCCAAGTCACCTATTTATTCTCTTAACCAAAATTTTTATACCACTCCTATCACAAGATCCCAGGGAGTGTATAAAAACATCCCGTCCTATATGTTATCATAAAATACCCCCTCCCACCCCCACCATTTGAACATATATAAAGAAGAGGCAAAGTTTAGTCCCCATTCAGCTTCGCAAATCCGCATAAAATGGCTTTGGGAGCCTTGCGAAATGCTGTCATGTGACTGATTTAGGTTTTTCCTCACCTGACTTGCCAACCCAGTTATAATGATTTACAAGCTGTGCGATGTGCAGTTTCAACTACTGGGAACATATGCAGTCCAATGATCATTTCCCCTCCTCTCTGGCCGGGCTTGCCCAACACGCAGAATCTTATAGTGATTTCCTTTTTGGCGGGTTAACGTGTTAACGAGAATCTCACCATTGCATTTGTAGTCCCTGGGTTATAATTTAGCCTTTTGTGGGAAACCAACCAATTTTAGTCCCCCCTGCCCACTAATGCAGACTCCTGCCTACCGTGTTGCACAATCGGTGACATTTGTCCTCCTATTGTGGG